ACAGAAATTTAAACGCTATTATTTGAAAGGGCAAATGATTACTGTAGCAGAGGAGGTATTGGATGGAGCAGAAACTTGGTTTTTTACAGGAGCTTTGGGTCCTTCTGCACTGAGGACTTGAGAGAGGGAGGAGGGGGTGGCAGTAATTGGCGAAGAGGATGAGGTGACATCCCGGAGCGCGTCCCTTGATTCTTTCGCAGTTAGCACCCATGGTTCTCTGCTGCTATTTAGAGGACTCACATTTTGTTTCTCAGTCCCTTTTCTCTCCTTTTCCTTCAGCTGGGAAGCTCGGAGTAGCCACAGCAACCTGGCTGCCTTTCTCCACTTTCCTTGTGATGGGTCTGGCAGGGCGTGCTTGGCCGCAGCTTTTGCCAGCGCTTTCTTCTCATGCAAAAATGTGCTGAGGAACTGCACTGCCAGCAGCCACTGTCCCGCTGGTGAAGATTTATAGCGTAGCCTATAGGAAGGGATGGTCTCTGCTCCCTGGCTGCACTGCAAACCACGCCGCCTAATGACCCGGGGCCCTTCGCAGGGATACTAAAATACTGTCGTGCTCTTTTGTTCTGACACTTTTCTCCTTCTCAAAAGTAAGACTTTACCATTTTTTGAAACCACAGAGACAGAGATTGAAGGCAGCCCTTTGAATTTGTTAAAATTTGACTGCAGGGTTCCTTCCGACCCCTGTGCTAATTTTTAGCAGAGCAGGAAACATTAAAAATAACCATGAGAGATTTCCCAACTCAGAAGGATTGTCCTCTTAATAATCTCTGGCTTCGTTTTCACTAGATATTTCCCCCCCTTAAAATTCCTGTAATGCTGCTAGAGCAAGTACCTCCCTGCCAGCAGTGGTAATGGCACCGGAGGAGGAAGGCAGAGGGCCAGTTAGCCAGACTGGCACCTAGACTTGCTGCGAGCAGGGGTAAAGGATGTACGGGGGAAATGCTTATTATTTATTGGAAGAGCTTTTGCATGCGAATCAGAGCTTGCAAGCTCCACATCTTCCCTTTTTGGTGAACTCAAAACTCTTCCCAAGCCTTCAGCTGATCTCGGCATGGGGTGAATCTCATTTTTGCAATGAAAGGTGACATTTTGGTGCTGTATCTCAAGACTAAGACTTCTGAGCTTCTACTGTGAAACAAAACAAAACTAAAAAGAAATCATAATTTATTTTAAAACATACCAGAATGTAGCCCCTTTCTCTGAAGTTGAAATGTTACGTGGCCAAACCAAGGCATGCAGCAAGAGCACATGATGTAGTAACAAGCTCTGCTCAATCCCCAACACCTTATCTGACCTCCATCTGCATTCTTAGCAGCATTGTATAAATATATATCATTAAATAATATATCATTAATGTATGCGATAAAATAGATATCATTATATAAATAAAGTCCTCACCTGGGTGATAGCAGTGGGGATGCACCGTGGTTTGGGTCATCATGCCCACAGGAACACCACGTGCCTACGTTACTGTTTGTGAGGAGTAAAACCAAGGCGAATAATTGCCATGATCACTCGCCCCTGCTTCATGTCACCAGCTCCCCCTGTTAACCCAGCTCCTCCCACCATGAGGACTCCAGCCAGATGTTGCAGATATATTTTCTTCATCAAACTGACAGCAATGTTTCCTCTTTTCTTTTCAAACATGGAGGGTGCCCCGCAGAGCTCTGTCGGCCCGGCGCCGAACAGGCGGTCCTTACTGCTGTGTGGTCAGAAAATGAGATCCAAGTTGAGTATCAGCTAGGAGGGGCCTCTGGCATCCACCAAATTATGTTGGCTGGGACCACATCAGTGTCATCTTCCTCAAAGCACCTGGGATCGATGGATTTTGTACTGTTTGGACAGTGCGGTGATGGTTTTGGTCAGAACCATGTTTTGGGGGAAGTTGACTGAATTTCTTTCTCTACCAAGTCTTAAAGCATCAGGTTTGTCCTAGACAAAGTTCATCATCTCTTGATGTAGTGAGCATTTAATTATGTGAAGTACGATCACTGTATGTATGATTCAGTGCAAAAGGCTTGTAACAGGGAGTGGGCAAAGGCATGACTGAAACTTATCCCTGGGCAAAAAGCACAGCGTGAAGCCCCTGCGATGCTTTCCCTTACTTGGGCCCTGTAACAGTGTGTCCAGAAAAGTCACCTTTTTTTACACTTTGTGCTGATCATTTGTGGAAGTGATTTTTGTCCCCCCAGAATGAAAACTTCTATAGAGGTAACTTTTGACTGGGCAGATAGGGGGCTATGTGTTGTTTCTCCGTTCCTTAGTTATCAAATAAACTAAAGCTTGCTTCATCTTTAATTAAAATGACACGGAGCAGAATTCAAATAAAAGACAATTACGAGCTCAACATATGACTGCTCCTGAAAGTTGCAGGCAATCAAGTGAGCAAGCCCAGATTTCAGATGCTCTCTCCTACTTTACACATGCAATCCTGTGGCTGCTTTCACAAACCCTGCCTGTTGCCTGCTCAGACATTTGGCTGGGCAGGTAGAGCAGAGTCAATTAAATCTCCAGCCCAGACTAACACAACATTTAAAAGTCTAAGTTAGTCTTGTCCATCCAGCTGGCCAAGAGCCCCTTTGAAAGCCCGATGGGTATTGTTTCTCTCAAGCATTACATGCTCTCCCTCAAACAAACATCCTTTGAATAGGCCATTGTTTTTCCTTCTGGATGTCCCTTTGTGGACTGATACAAGAATAGCTAAAAGCTGTTGGATTGTGATTAATATATATATATATATATATTCTGGGACTTCTCCTTTGAGAAGTTGAGTGTGCTGCAAGGTCTCTGCTCAGGTCCCACATCTGGTCCTCCGGAGGTTAGAGAGTTGCATCAGGAGCTTCAGGTGGATCACCTCAAACAGTCATAGTTTCAGGAAAGAAGCTCCATGGACCTGATGCCTTTCCCAGGTGTTATAATGTAAGGAGTCAAGGTGAGATAAAGTATGGAAGGGGTGTTCATCAGGGCTGGTAGTAGTAGTGTGGTTGTGACCTGCAAGCCTTTGCATTGATGGATGCAACTGCATTAGTTTATATTTTTCGTTACTGCTACCATAGCAGTTGTGTACTGGTTGTTCCTTTATGAGAAACAATACACATCACATGAACAACATAACCCATGTTTGGTCACTTCAGAAATCTTGTGTGTAAAGAAGTCCTCATTTATTTTCTGGTGAACATCTCTTGTACAGCTCGCCCAGTCGTTATAACACAGATACCGCTGCCCTGCCCAGGATTCAACCGCCTGGATTTACCTCTCTTTCCTAACAAAGCTGTGTGGTTTCATGTTCCAGGAGCAGGGGTTTGAATTCCAAGCCCTGGCACCACAGCCGCTGCCGGCTGATTTATTCCTTATCGATGGCCGGAGCTATAAGCTGGAAGGACACTATTTTTAACTCAGCCCTTAGGCTTCTTTTATGCACCTTTTTCTTTTTTTGCTCAATTTCACCATCACAGATTTAAGCTGAACTAAAAAAGGTTCACCCTAATCGGTTCCCTAAGAAATACAGAAAACTTTGATGCTTTATCTTTGTGTTATACCATAGTCCAAACTACATTTGCTTTGGTAGGTCCTCCCAGTTTACAGGGCTGCAATGCAGGAAGATGTTTCAGCCCAGCACGTCTGCAGAAGGAGCCAGGAGGATGCGCGTGGGCTGCACACGTGTGGCCATGCTGGGCAGGCGCAGGACGGAGTGGGTGCTGATCCCAAGGTAGCCCTTGAATTTGCAGTAGGCAGCGACAAGAACAAGGCTGGGTTGGGTTTGAGATCACAGCAGCAGTCAGCCGTGCTCAGCGACGGTCAGGCTTTGCCGCAGGGATGTCACGTCTGCTGCTCAGCACAGCCTGTGGCTCCCTCTGGAGCGGATCCTTGCCCAGCAAAGCACGTGAGCACTGCTTGGAAATCTGGGAATGAATCAGGTGTCGAGGGCTTTACTGACTCGCAGCCATCATGCCATGTCTCTTCAGGAATGGTTTGCAGGGCTGAACCTTCTTTGGTTTTAAATGAGGAAAGGTTTGAAGTTCTCGGGTGGCAGGTCATGGATCAGTGGAAGTGCTGTTCCAGGATTTACTGAAACTGTTGGGTTTTGAACTGCTTTTCTTCATCCCGAAGTACCTGTGTGCCAGCTCCAGCTGACAGCAGGGGCAGCTTTGGCTTCGTCTGTGGACCTTAGAGCATCTGTGCTTCCTCTCCCCACATGGATCCTTTCTCAAAAGCAAGGTTTCCTGTACCTGTGGCCCGATACCTTCAGTGGCTTCACGTTAATTAAGGGCTGTATGCCAGAAACAACGGGGAAATAACTGTTTATCGTATTGATTTACCATGCGCTCCTGTGGCAACCCTAGAAAGGGGAGACCTGGGGAAGAACTGGGGTGGCCAAGTGCTTGGTTCTGCAAATACAAGTGCATTTCCAGCTTTGTATCGCTGCAAATGAGCAAAGCACTTAGGTTTCAGCCCGTGGGGCAGATGCACCCTTTCTTCCTCCGCAGCAAGACACCCCTTCCCATCACTGAGATATAGACCATCATGGACTGAGTGTGGTGGCCAATGTCCACCTCTTGGGTAAAATGGTAGTTTCAGCAAGTCCTTTTGTAAAAACAAGTGGTTCAGATCTGAGCTTGATGTGAATCACTCCTGGGATCTGCTCAGTTTAACTAAATCAGGCATGTTTTAGTGCTGCTCTTTTAGTCTTTAAAAACCTCAGGGAGTCCCGAGCGCTGTGCCAGAGCAGTGTCACCTTATCCCTGTCGCTAATCCTGTCGCTTCTTTTCATGCTCCTTCATACTCTGTGAATTGTTTGACACCTCTTACTGTGCTTCTATGAAACCTTCCCACTGGATTGCATGGATGAAGGATTAGGTGTGTAAGTAACCTAGCCAAAGATGGTACTATATGCAAGTAGAGCCTCTTTCAGAGCATGACTGATATTGCTATGTTTGTAAATTGATTATTTTTTATTGTTATTTCTTTTTTAATAATACTGTCTTTTCCTTCACTTTTAGGGGCCTCTTGGTTTGGATGGCAAACCAGTAAGTAGCACCAAGTACCAAATGTAACATGTCTTTATTCATGCTGCTCTGCAATAGGCAAAACCTCCACTATTACTCGTTTATTACTACACGCATAACTGTTTAGGAGACGAAATTGTATTTCAGAAAATTATTCTGTGGTCTGTAACACACGCAAGTTTAAATTCTGAGCCAGGGCTGGCCGGTACAGCTAGAGGTGAGCTTTTCTTTCCCACTCAGCTCATCTTAGCTGCTTCTCACCCTCTCTCCATTAGTCTCCAGCTAACGGAGACTTTACAGGTGGGCAGCAGGCCAAATTTGGGAAATAAACTTCAGTAGCACCTTGGAAGAAGCAAAGTCAGTAATCTTGGTTGCATGCTCCTGGCACTACAAAGTGGTATCATAAAAATAATTGTTCCCACACTGGGTTAATTTGTCTCCAAAGCAGCCCAGGTGAGAAGTGCTTGAGAGTGCCCGGTGTCCACGCAATACTTTGTGGAACAGCCTGGACTTCATTATGAGCTGTTTTCTTGACTTCATTTTTCCTTGAAAGCCCTTTGGATACTCAGGTGCTCCAGTCTTTTCTTACTTACTTTACAGAAACACAAACTTTTTTATTTTTGTGCTAGCTGAACACTAGCCAGCTCCGATTCCTTTGGGTGGATGCTTGCTGCAGGAGGTCGCAGCTCAGTGTTTCATGGCCAAATCTCACTCTATTCCACCTCGTTCACTAGAGGGCACCATTTGAAATCTTTTCAAGCTCTGGTTCTAACCCAACTGGGATTTTCAAAGTGGGCAGAAGTCATTCAATCTCTGCAATCAAAAAGTTACTCTGGATACTTATTTCTAGCCAGTTGGGGAGTGTTTTGTTATAGCTGTGCATTGCTGTGGTTGGTTTCTATCCTGCTGCTGAAGACGACAAATATGATTGAAAAGAAATCTAGAAATAACGTATTAGAAAAGAAAAAAGGAAGGCCAGCTCATGCCGTTGTGCTCAGGGCTTGGCTTTGAATTAGCAAAACCCCATGATGGAAGAGCAGCCCAAACCCCAGCAGCACACACCTGCGCCCGCTGCCCTTGGCAGGCGCATGGATGCAAACGACTGCAAGTTGTACATGTACACGGGGCAGGAGTGAGACTTCTGAGTGAGAGGCAGGGAAAATCTGAACGAGAAAGCAAACTTATCAAACGGCCAAACTCAAACCAGACTCTTCATGATCTCTTCCATGAGAGCAAGGGGCCAGCAGCCTTGCTTAGAGCCAGATTAACAGCGGGAGGGATGCTGAGCGGGGATGCAGATGCCGCTGCTGTCAGCCTCTCTGCTGACCTTCCCCCGCTGCATCCCACCGGGTCCCACTTTGGCAAACGCTGAATTGGGCTGAACCCCAAGATTCAGTGTTTTTCTGTGTTGGAAGGGGGGATGCAGAGCAGGCATATCAAAGCATGGCTCTGTGGCTTGTCTTTGGGGCTGCAGTGTGTCTCTGCCTGCCTGTCTTACAGAAAGCTGCTTAGAAGAAAGATGACTTATGCCTTCGGCAAATAGGCCAAAGAAAGCAGCCCATCCTCCTTGTTTATTTCAAACAGATGTATAATTGTTGTAATGATATGCTGAGCATGTGTTTTTCTAGAAGTGATTTAATACTTCAAGAAATCTCTTGCATCTATTTAGAGTCACGTGTTTGCTGTCACACCGCCTGCCCTGCCCCAGTCCTTCTCCAATCCTCTGTCCTGGCAAGAGCAGGCAGGACCTCGTTGGTGCTTTCGGTAGCATGTTGCTTACGTGAAGCAGCGTATAGCTTAAAATAATAGCATGTGTACCTTAAAATAATAGTGAACACGGCTCAGGTTTGTGAATTGATGAATACAGTCTCCTTGGTTTTGATGTATGGATTGATGATTCTGCTGTTTCTTAACTCGGATCCTTCTTGTTATTTCCAGGGACCTCCAGGACCAAAAGGGGAAAAGGTAAAGACTGCATTAATACGGGGCTTTTGGGGAGGCAGGTGTATATTCTCTTTCTGCTGTAATTCTTTTAGTTCAGGTTACTCCAATGTGCCAGCATGACATTACCACTGGGTTTTGTCGGGACGTGGAGCTGTGACAGCGGGTTCTCAGGTGGCTCTTGGCAAAGCCCCGGGAAGGGGAGGGCAGAAAGAATTTGTGAAAATGTGGGAGGAATAAGTATGGCTTTAAATTTCATTCATGCTGTAGGATTCCTGGTAACCCCTTAAGGGTGTTAGTGGCATACAACTCTCTTCTTGCTTTCCTCCAAGAGCAAGGCTGTGGGCTGCATCCCTCTGTGTTTGCATGACATCCTCCCACGAAATTAGAGCAGCCAAAGAAGGTCATTACTGTACCGAAAGTGATGTTAATCCTCGCATGTGCAGGACATAAGCAGTTGCTAGGGGAGCCTTAGAGTTGGAAACAATCCACTATTTCTGATTTATTATCTGTTTCATCGCCTGCCAGGGCAGAGTCATTGCCTATTGTGTTGTCTTGAGCCCTTCTCCTCCCTGGTTTTGAATACGTTAAGCAATAGGACTCTTGCCACTTCCCTTATGTGCTGTTCCCGCATCTAGCTGACCCTGCGCTCGGTCCTTCGTGGTTGAAATTTGAACTCTAATAGCTGACCCTTGCTGTTTTGCCTGATACGCAGGGTGAAGCAGGGGACATCGGCCCGAGGGTAAGTAGTGACACAGCATGTTGATTTATTCTAAAATCTTGTTGGGTGTGGTCACTGCACAAAACAAGGCGTCGTACTGTTTAGTCGCTGCAAACTGAGGTACAGTAGCAGTTCTGGAAGTGTTTAATTTTGCCATTGGAGCTCTTTGCCGTGGTGGTTTTCCTGCCTTTGACCACAGGGAAGCAAGAGCTGAAGATCTTCAGGTACCTCAAGAAAGGTTTTGCTTTTCCTGGACTTTCCTATCCCTGATTCCCTCTTCGGGTGTCAGAGACAGACTCCATGTTTCTTTTGAAGCTGTTCTCCTTATTTGTTGCGTTAGAGCACTAGCACGTTGTGGTAAGACCTGGTGTCCCAAGGAAAGGCCCAGCACAGTGTTGTGAAGGATGGACAGTTCCTCCTCTCTTGCTGAGCTACCCACCTGGGAGCATGGTGGCACACAGGCAATATCTAGGCTGCCTTTGAAAATAAAAGGTTTAAAGTACCTGTGTGATGAAGGAAAACTGTTTTGGCTATAACAAAAAGAAATTAATGGAGTTTTGTGGAGACGGCTTTCGTGGGGCTGCATTAAGTTGAGATTTACTGCAGTGCATCAGGATAGGTCCCCATGGGGCGCAAGGGGGACGTTGCTGTCCCACAGTTCCTGCTGTGATGCTGGTGGTAGCAGCAGAAACATGAAGTCTCCCGTGTCAGGGATGAGATGGGAGGGCTCACCGCGAGGTGCACGGTAAATCCAAGGTGAGCTCTGTTGTGGTAACAGAGGCGCAGTTGGCCATGGGTTATGGGCACCTGCTGGAAACCCCATGGTGGGGATGTGCTGGGATGCTGCCGTACAGGCCCTGCGCAGAGGCTGGATTCACTGCTGGCACCCAAGAATCTGGTAGATGTCATTACTGGAAATGTAGCCAGGACCTCAGTGGTTAGTGTTGGGCAGAGATGCCTCGGAGTAATTTTTATTTTTTCCCCTGGAGACTGTTAAGTCACTTTTTGAAGTTGGTGTCATTTTCTGAAGCAGCTCCCAACCACCTTGGGTGCCTTTGGAAATGTCACCCTCAGGCTCTGAGAGTCCCTAAAATTTCTCCAATAGATTTGTGCCCTGCGTGGCTGAGGAGGGGCTCGGTGTAAGGTCTCAACCCTGTCTAAGTACACACCCACACACTCAGAAGAGGCTTTAAGAGGTGATTCAGCAACACACGGGCATGGGTTTTCACTCCTTGGCCAGGGCTGAGGATGACTTTGGGGCTGATGACTTGGGCGATGCCGGAGTTGATGCTCAGGCTCCACAGCCCCTGTGGTCTGTGCTGCCAAATAACGCAGGAGCCCACCTCCTGCCAACAGCTCCTGTTTGCACTGTGGGAGATGCTCTGGGAATGGGCTCTGTCTGGACTCACAGGGGCGGGTCCCAGCTCCCAAGGTAACACGTGTCCTATGTTTTAATCTACTGATAAAAATACGTGCTTTTTTTTTCTCCTAATCTGCATGTGTCCAGATTTCGCTTTACTTTTAGATTTATTTATGTCTTTTTGCACAAGAGTAAGAAAAAGGCTCAGAAACAGTTTGGGAGGAAAGGGGGAGAAACAAGCCTGGCAGAGCCATGCACAAGTAGGTCTAACAACTGGTGCCTGACTTTTAAAATAGCATCCTTTGTATCTCCAGACACTCAGGGTTGTGGATTGGATAAGAAACTTCTTAATACCATCTGGCCCAGATTATTTTTTATTTCCTAATTTAATCTTTCTTCTTCAAGTTTCGGTGGTGGCTTTGTTTAGCTGATTTTGAAACATGTCGCAGCAAGTCGTCGCATCAACGGGAGGATAAATAACGAGGAATATATCCACTGCCGCCTCCCTCGTAAAGTGTGCATGTCTGTGGGCGGTGGAGTGGGAATAGTGTGTGTCAGTGAACACAAAAATATTATTACTAGGAATGATAGATTAAAAGAGCATAATGCTTGGAGTGGCTTTGAAGGGACTGTCTGCTGTGGGAGTGAGATGAAGGCAATTAAGGGATTAGCTACTGAGTATGTTCGTGTCTGTGCTGCTTCTCTTTCTGTCTGTAATAAACACCTGCTGCCAGTGTGGACAAAAAAGAGGTCATTGCGCGTGGGAGTGTGCCTAATGCACAGGTTGGAGGGTGATTTTGGAGAGCTGAGGAAGGCGTTCACATCACGTTGTCTTAGGCACTGAACGCTAGTGCTTGCAAACGGCGTCAGGGAAGCTGTTGTGCAGCCTCACCTGACCGGGGTGGGGAGGAAACGCACTCAAATATACTGACAAAATGCATGTAAGTGTGTTTTCAGGGAGAAACCAAGAACAGGCTCCCTCTGCTTTGGGAAGGAGAGGTAGGGTTGAAGCAGGATGCTGCCAAGGCTGAGACTGCTGTGCCCTGGTATTTGTGCTTGTACTTCTCTCTTAAAATCAAACATATCGCTACCCTCTGAAAAGGACTGTTTTTATAAGCCAGACTTGCTCCCGAAGCCGGCACTGGGATGACCACTCTGGATTTATTCATAGAATCACAGAATGGGTTGGGTTGGAAGTGACCTCAAAAGATCATCTAGTTCCAACCCCCTGCCAGGGCAGGGACACCTCCCACTAGACCACGTTGCTCAAAGCTCCATCCAACCTGGTCTTGAACACTTCCAGGGATGGAGCATCCACAGCTTCCTTAGGCAACCTGTTGCAGTGTCTCACCACCCTCAGGGTGAAGAACTTCTTCCTTATATTTAGTCTAAACCTGCCTTCTCCGAGCTTCCAACCATTACCCCTCATCCTATCACTATTACCTTAGCTTGGGTGATCTTGTTCTTACTGACAGTTCAGATGTTTGAACAAATTATGGGATTGATGAATTTTTGCACATCTGGGCTAGTGAATGCACAGTGTGTATGGCAGCAGCACCAGGTTTGCTCTCTATTGAGGGAAATGGGGCTTCAGCTTGTGAGAGAAATGCTCTTGTCTCCAGTGGTCCATGCAGCGTGATCCTGCTTGGAGGACAGCGCTGGTGGAGATGGCACCAGTAACATCTTCACCATTATCCTGAGCTGCTGTGGGACTGAACACGGGCTGGCTGCGTGGCTGAACTGTCTCTATAGTGACAGGCTGGAGTTTAGGCTGCAGATAGAAAAGTAGCTTTTTTTCCTCTCTTACTTTTTGCAAGAAGATAAGTGCTTGCCAAGTTCATGTTGCAGATAACAGCTCAGCGTGGAAAGTGTCCTGCAGAGCTCATAGTTGACAGAGAGATGTATGGATATTTTATTTTACTTTATTTGACTTTATTTTTTGACTTCATTTTGTTTCTTATTTTGGAACATTACATTGAGATGGCTAAATCAAGTACTATAAAGCTGGAAATTGCCACTGTTCAAGGTTTCTGTGCTCTAAGACTCCACAGCTACACAGAGTCAGATCCAACGGCCAGTTAGCCCAGTGCCCTGTGCCTAGAAGCTTTGGGAGAGTTTAAACATGGAGCATGCCATCACACCTAACTGTTCTCCTGGAGACTGGTTATCTACGGTCCAGATGTTTCTTGGGCCAGAGATGGCGTCTCTGTATTTAATAGCCTGCAGGGTTGTTCACCTTTCATGGGCCCGTCTGTAACAGGAGTTGTTTAAAATTAATGGCACGATGGCTGGATTTGGTGGGATGTGGTGTGTTTGGCCTCGGAGCAATGCAAATTGTCATTTCCCATTAAAACAGATAGGAAGGTGTTTACTTAGGGGGTGCTCAGCAATCTGCGGGATAAGAAAAAAGTTTCAGCTCCTGTCTGGCTCCTTGGGCTTTTCTGAAAATCCCACTTAATGCTCTTTGCGTATCTTTGTGCACATAATAAGCCATAAAACTAGGTCCTTTGGGTCTACCACAAAACCCTTTGCTCTCAGTGGAGCCCTTTTGGTGGTTTCTGTGGTATGTGGAGGGCCTGGCCAAGTGCAAGGGCTCTCTGTCACCGTTCATTTCAAAGTGGCATCATCTTGGGGTTTTAAAATCTCAGGATTTGAGCATTGTGCCTCCCCAAAATGGCTGTATTTCAGGGGTGAGCTAAAGCCTCTCTGTACAGATTGAAAAAGGTCCTTGGGAGGGGCTTATTTTCCAGGGTTGATTAGTTTGGGTTTTTTCTATCTGACTTTGCTTTTCACATCCCTTTTTGCGGTGACTGTGTTAAAACATCCATGCTCGATGTACCTGGGAGGCTGGGCAGGAGGTGGGTTTGCCTATGCAATAAAAACTGAGTTTTGGGGTTATCTATTATTTGTCTGAAAGGTTTAAAAGCTACCTGGGCAATTTGGACAAGAGATTTGTTCTTTAGAAACCTTCCAAAATCCTCATGGAGGATGTGCTGTGTGTTCTCGCGAGGCTTCTTGTGGCTTCGCTCCATCCCTTTGGTCCTCCTACCGATGTGTGCAGGGATGGACGGGGTGAAAGGGAGATGCAAGCAGCGTCCTGAGAAAGGAAGTGTCTTACTGCTTCTCCATAGATCGATAAGTGGAAAGGCTAAAAGACAATAGCAATGACTACTGACATGGTCTGAATACATTGTTTTTTGCATCATATAAATCTGAGAGATTTATCTGCGTTTTGCAGGCTGGGGAATACATCAGTATTCATTTTAGCCTCTGGAAAAAGAAATATAGTATTTGGTCTCGGGAGAAATGCCGGGATATATCCCCTGTGGAGTTTACTGGAATAATGCTCTTTATTCCACAGAAAGGCCTGCAGTAGGGGAATCCTCTGTACCCCAGCTGCTTTGAATGTCCTATTGTGCAGTAAACTAATGAAAAGATACTTGTTTCCCTGTGTTCACTGCTTACCAAGCTCCAGTAAATCCAGAACGTTAACACAGCCTCTGTTGGCTACCTAGATTATTTCCTCTTCATACATAAATATCAAAGAAAACCTGTTATATATTGTTACAGCCTTTAAAACTCATTCTTCTGCCATGCTTTCATCTTAAATTCTTGCTCTTTCCTCCTCTGCCTCCCACTTTACCTGGGTACTAGATGGTTTTTCCCCGGCTCAATCACGGATTTCTCACTAACGATCAGCTTGTCCTTAGCCGGCGAGTGCTCAAGGTAGACCTATCAGATCTGCTGCTGCTGGTTTGCTGTGGTTCTTTGAGTTGCTGTTGTTTCTTCTTTCTGGCTGAAAGTGCACTATTGCTATTTTAAATCGTCGCTACCGTGGCTATGTTCGGAGGTGCTTGTTGGGAGTGCACTTGAGTGAAACCCCATTGGAATTTAGGGGGAGTTTTGTGAAAGTAGAGACATATAAAAGTGATGGGTTTTAGCATTTGATCCTTTATGAGAACTGGGAATCAAGCAGCAGAGTCCTATAAATGTTCATATGAACAGTGCGGGTATTGTAAAATAAAGTACATTAAAACTAGAGTTGTCTAAATCCTCACACTCTAAACGTGACGTTTTAATTAGGCAAAATTCAGTGGGAGACTCTTGACTTGGCATAATTGGATGCAGCATTCTGCATTTGCAATAGGGTTTTTTTTAAAAAAAATTATGCAAGTGATTTAGGAGCACAGATCTTGTTGAAAGGCCGTGGGATTTGTGCTGCTAAGTCACTTAAGGACTTCTGAAAAATCCCACACTTGTCCCCGATTTGAGGGTGGACCACATATTAAATACAGTCTTCGTACTGCCTCGGTGGTAACCCTTCCAGATGTTGCTAAAAGATTTACAAGATGGCCTTTCCATGAGGCTTTCCATTGTGCGGCCGCATGGATGTGCCCAGCTGCGGGGCTGGGCTGTGGTGGCCAGTGGGGGGTCAGGAGCTGATAACTGGGCGGCGAAGCCCCACTGGGTGTTCCCCTCTGGAGCAGGCACCTACCAAGCCTTCACAGTCACACGGAGATACAGCTGCTGATTTTTGCTTTGCATCCAAGCAATGCTGGGTGTGAGCTACGCTGGATGTTAATGTATGACCTTGGCTGTGTTTAAAGGATACTAAGTGCTACTTTTTTTTTGTGGGTTTTTTGGTGTGGTCCACTAAGCTGTGGACATGTGTGCATGCTCTGTGCTAGCATGTTGTTGGGTCTGGGTTATTTCTGGGTATGGTCAAATTGGTGGTTTCCATGCAGACAGTCACTGGGCAAGGGCTTAATGAGATAAAACCTCGCTGGAAGGCATTGAGCAAAATCCTGGCTGAAGAACCAGACCTGAAGGGCGTGACTCAGCCATGAGCTCACTTCCAGCCTTCCCAGTTGGAAGCTGTAATTAAATTCATCTGGGACAGCAGAGGCCAGGGTGCTGATAGCCCGGTGACGCAGTGCATGTGTCGCGGCACCCTGTGGCCACTGTTTGCCAACGCCGCCTCGTCTCACCATGTCTGTGTGAACTTCTTCCAGGGCGATCAAGGTCGAGATGGAGCCACTGGCCCCCCTGGTCCACCAGGACCCCCAGGTGCCCGGGGGCCTCCTGGTGACACGGGAAAAGATGGCCCAAGAGGACCTTCAGGCCCCCCTGTAAGGACGGGAGATGCACAGCAAGCACATGCCGGGCAGTTCCCGCCCCAGCGAGGGAGAGGAGGGTGTGAAGGGTGTCCCCTTCCCCGGTGCCACCACCCCAACTGCTGGGTGCCCAGCCTGAGCCAGTGGTTGGGCTCTGATGGCTGCTCATACATGCTTTGGGGCTTGAGGCCAAGGGAGCAGGAGGGGGCCTTCCATCTTCGGTTTTGGACCACAGAGCTGGACCTGGAGCATGTATTTGCAGGTGCTGGTTGTAAATTAGAGAGCCCAGAGGAGATCTCTTCCCTGATCTGCAGCCTTTAGACAACCTGTTGCAAATCTCCAGATCACTGGCAATTTATTTAATTAAAAAATAAGCTAAACCACAATGCTGCTAAACATTCTAATTATTGCTGAGCATTTTGGACAATGGGGGTTAATAGTTTCAATGTGGGCCTTTTTATTTTTGCAGGGTTTCAAAGGCGAGCCTGGAGAGGACGGCCTCGTGGTTAGTATTGCCCAGCAGCATCCGTGTGTGCCTGCCCCTCGCTTTACATCACCCTTCAGCTCACTGCAGCAAGTGGTTTTGTGTCGTTGCTTATTGAGGCCAAAAAAAACCCATGGGAAATTATAGATGCCCTAAAATGGATGTTTGCCCAGGGGTACCTATGCCCTGGGGAGAAAAGAGGCCAGTCTTTGTCCCCTTGGCTCCTTTAGAGGGATGTGCGGCTCCTGTATCCCCACTTTTGCCCCTCTGAAGCCTCCTGGCATTGTAACTGCAGTTCACTAAAGTCTAGGCTGGATAAAAGGTACTTATTATAGGTAAATACCCAAGCTGTAAAAGAATATTTATTATTTACTGGGAGCACAGAGAACTTACAACTGTATGTGTAAGGGAAGAGGAGAAGTTGGCATCTGTGCCATTTTTTTTCATGGGAATTAAAGTACTCTTGGAAATGTTTTTATCCTGTTCTACTCTATTGTCAAACAAGTATACCCACTACTCTTACATTCAACAGGGTGCCAGGGGACCTCCAGGACCAAAGGTGAGTAATAAGTAATCTCTTATCTGTCTAATTTTAACACGAATTCTTGAAATATTGCTGTGTAAGGGGGGTGGAGATGAACATACATATTTTGCACTGGACTTGCACTCATATGTGTATACCAGATACAAAATTTCTAAGGTATCACATTAGCCATTGACTTGGAGCTGCAAGTGTCTGAATGTGTCACCTACTCAATGTTGAAACCTTGAAATGGGGAGGGACGGAGGGAGCCGTGGGGGCTGGAAGCTGGTATGCTGTGGGAATGTGCTTGCTTGCATTTTGGGGGAGGATGAAGATGATCAACACAAGCCAAGTATTTTAATTTTACAATTAATTTTGACTCTCCGTACAACTGGTCTTATTCTCTGTTATGTCCTTAAACTACTTTCTCCTCTGTGTTTGTTGCTGTTGAAGGGTGAGCCTGGCATCCCAGGGAAAAAGGTAAAATGGTGATTTTATTCTTTATTTTTGTTGGGTTTTTTAGTAGTTCTTTGTTTTGCTTGGTGCTGGACTTAGGGAAACCATTGCCAGAGACTGATGGAGAAGCCATGGTCGTGGCAGTCCATAACGAACGTTTCTTCGTGTTCCCCGGGGTTCCTCGCCCATGCGACCCCAAAGCACAGGCACGGCTGTGCCCACAGCCCGTTTTTCATTACCACAAGGAAGCCAGAAGTTACAATTGCATCTACCCAATAGACAAAGAATAAAATAACCAATGCCAAACAAAGCAGTAGGTCTTGAGGCCTTTTGCTCCAATAATTCAAGCTGAACTGAGAAGCGCCTGGAGTCTGTTATCTGCCCAGGGGCTCCCAGGATGTGTTTGAGGTTCCTGGGACGGGCATCGCTGCCCAGCGCCTCGGTCTCATGGGGATTGCCCACTCTCTTAAGGACAGGCACGCTGCTTGGGTTGGGCGTTGAAGGCTGCGGGAGATTCACATGTCCAAGCTCTCCATGTTTTCTTCTGGTGGTGCCACCAAGTAAATCATTGCCTTTAACTGAAGCTGAAGCGCTGACAGAGCCCAGCCTTTCCCTCTTGCTCCTTTGTCCCAAAACAGATGTGGCCATGGGTGTTTTTCAGGCCAGAATTTGGCTTTAAAAATTTCATAACTGGCCAGTAAAATGAACGCCTTCAGCACTTACAAAGTGGTTTTACTCCAGGGGAAAAACAAAGCATAACAAGTGAAACAAGAAAATCTCCTGGTAGATGGGTGTGCTGGTGACTTGTGATGAAGTCCATGAGGAGGTCTTTGGGACCCAAAAAGCCTAAATGGATTAAATATCTAATTTCTATTAAAGGTGGAGAACATCTTACCCAGGGCCTGCTGTGAGCAAATTCTTGGAGATGTTCATCCACCTCCCTGGGAGCAGGGGAGGCAGAGACAGAGCTGGGTGGGAGCAGGGGAACATGCTGGAGCCTCCTGGGCTCCTTTCTGCAGCTTTCTCCTGGCCTCCTGCAAACCTTCTTGACCCCACTGGGGTCAAATGGCATGTTGGATCCTAATGCTAACTGTGTATAAGCTCTTTGTATTTCACTTTTTATATTTTATTTCATCAGGGTGATGATGGGATCCCTGGGGAACCAGGACTTATGGGCCCTAAGGTATGTTCTGCTCTATGTCCATCTAACGTATATGCTTGGCAGCATCTTTTGCTATCTGGTTTCTTGGCACAGTGTCACAGTTAGGACAGGCTGAGAAGCACATCTCTCCCCTGACATGGAAAAAGAATTTTAAAAAATTACAAAGAGAAGCATAAGCCACCCCTCTGCCATGGCAGCTCTGCCCAGAAGTCGTCTGCAATCACAACGTGTTGACTGTGGCAGAGAATTGCCAATTAGAGGCTCCTCTTGCAGCGGTAAATAAGGGAGTGTTGCTGGGGGTGGCACGGAGCTGGGGTCTGGGCTGTCGGTTTGCAGCGCTTAGATCAGGGTGCAGTGGGCTCTTACGGGAGCCTTCTCCAGATGCTGCGATTTTGGGGCTAACTTTATGGCTGACCATACCACCTGCAGCCAAACTGTTAAGCCTGAAAGCTCCATTTTTATCTCGAAAACTCCCCTTTTGCACCTAGGCAACATGATGTATTTCAGACTAAAAGCAGAGCTTTGCTCACTCATGTGTGTAAAAGTAAAGATGAAGCAAGAAAATTATAACCTGAAGAAATCTGATCTTCATCCTACCCATGTAGCGTTCATCAAAATTGCCTTGTTTTCAGGGAGAAAAAGGAAGCGCAGGTCCCAAGGGAGAGAACGGCACAGATGGCTTGCCAGGACCCAAGGTAAATAAAAGTCCATTAGCTGGGAAGCTGGGCACAGTGCTACTGAGGCAGGGGGTTTCAACTGAGTGGGTGTTTGGGGCCCTTTGCCTTATAAAAGGCTCATAAAATGCCCAAACTGAAACAAAACAGGGATGTTAGGAAGGATTTTATCTTTTCCTGGTGACTTAATGAAAGCTGGATTCAAACTGAGATCAATCTAAGAGTTTTTAAAATCGTCTCCTTGCATGGTTTTCATTGAATTGCCTCTTTTTCCCCAAAAGAGCTAAACCTCCGATCACATTTTGATCCCAGGTATTGATGGCTGCGGCATCACTTCAAAGCCCAGAGCACGCACTTGCTGTCCTGTTCCACTGACCTTCAAAACTGCCAAGAAATGCAGTAAGACTGTCTTGCTATGGTCAGTGGTGATGATGAGACCTGGACAGCATTCAAGGGCTGTTGTTTGCCCCCTCAGCTGCTGCTTATTCAGAAGGATCTGTACCCAGTCGTGTTTCTGTGTCAAACAGCTGTACCTCCTTGTTGGGCAGGAAACTGTGTATGATGAAGAAATGTGGGCTCAGGTGACCCTTAGCCCTTTTTTTGCTGAAACCTTAGTAGCAGTGCTGGTTTGTTGCCCCAGGATCTTGAGTTTTCCTATGAAGTGCCTTTGCATTTATACTGTTTTTTTACTTTTTGGAGGGCTTTCATTTGGCCAGCAAATGGATTTCCCATGGGTATGGCAAAAGGTACATTTTTTGATTCCTGAGCTGAATTTCAGGTCACTGCTGTGAGGGCGCTACAGCTTTCCAAAGCTTCCCAATTGTCAAAAGGAAAAAAAAGCGGGGGGCGGGGAGAAGGAAAAAATAATAAAAGCAAAAATTTGGCACAGTCCTTTTCCTTAAGCTTGCCTCAAAAATGGTTTAAACATGTCAGTTGAAACGTTCCACACACAAAGTTCAGCCTAAACCAAAGAGAGGGCCAGGTGAGAGTTCAGCACAAAGAGCCGGAGCTTGGCACGCTCGGAGCAGACAGCGGAGCCGGAGGGTGGCAGGGCACATTGCTGTTGTGGGGAGCTCAGCCCTGAGCGGGCCACTCCGCTCCCTCTGCGATGAGACATTTTCTTCCTGTAACTAGCTCATGCTGACGTTATTTTTTGCAAAATATATTTGCTCTGAAGTCAGATCTGGTTTTTTTGCTAAGAGAAGCAGTTCCTTGTTGGTGCCACACTTTTTCATCTAAAACATGTCTTGGCATCTCATGTAGTTACCGTATTTTTAAGATAAATAGCCTATGTTTTCCATGGTCTCTTTGACCAATGTGATTTTGATTTTCAGGGTGAACCTGGTGAGAAGGGAGGAATTGGCTCCATCGGACCCCGGGTATGGATGGTTCAGGGTTTTGCTTTTTCAGTTTGGAGTCGCATATTTGTCTCAACCTGAGCTGTTCCCCACCACCTCGTCCTGCTTAGCACGCAGTTGAATCGCTTCAGGATCAGTTCAGTGCTGGAAAATAGAGATGGTGCATATTTAAACAAACCATTATGTAGGTACCACATGCTGCCGTGGGAGATGGCTCTGGGAAATGCAGTCAAGTCCAATTTTCTTATCAATGTGACCATCCTGTGACCCTTTTTTTCAAGAGGGAAGCTGTAAATAGGGGTAATCAAGTGAGGATTTCTGTGCACTTCTCCGTTACACAAATTTATGCCCTTTTGAGTTTTGGTTGGATGACAGTTACAGCTGCCAGACCAGGCACTGATTAAATCGATGGTGTTTGTAAGGTGATAATCCCCAAACAGCCGGGTGTCAGTCTTTGCTTTCATACCACCTGCTTCTCAGATGCTGCAAAAACTAACTAGGATTTGTCCCTGGTTGCAGGGTCCCCCCGGCCTGAAAGGGGAACAGGGTGACACCGTAGTGATCGACTATGACGGCCGAATCCTGGATGCGCTCAAGGTGAGCCCCGCAGCAAGGCCATGCCGATTCCTGACTGAAAAACTGCCGAGCTCTGCCACGGTGGTGATGTGGCACTGTGTCTGTCCCTGTCCCACTTCTGCTTCCTGAGATCTCGGTTTCAGCACAGAGATGGCTGGGAGGGAAGAGCTTATGGCATCTGGGGGCTGAGGATACTTAGGATGTCGCAGCAAAAACAGTGGCAAAACTTGAGGCTGTGAGCTCAGGCTGGGTACCAGGCTTGTGGGATGCGTCTGTGGGATGTGAGTTAATGTTCTGCAGGTAAAAGCAACCCAAAGCAGCCTGTGAAATATAAACAGCTGATGCAACGAGTGTGAGCAGCCAAATTACAGTTCAAACACTGCCGGCTGCAGGGCCTTATTCCCACGGCACGGGGCAGAGCCGCGGTTTTCACTGAGCAGCCTCTGGAGTGGTTTTCTCGGCAAGCAGCGGTCGGGATGCGGGAGGAAGGGAAACAGTGCCCAAGCCCTAACCTGCCCGACTGAGCAGTGCTCTGCCATGTTCATTAAGATGAAAGAAGCTGAATAAAATTAATTACAGACGTATTTGAGAACCATCCTAATTGTTTTATAACAGGCTGCAGGGATACACAAAGTGATGGTAATTACCGTTTGCCGGATGTCTGCACGGCATGCAGCGTTGTGAGTGGAGTTTATGGAGTGCAGTGGTTAGAGACTCCATCAAATGTCTGGAGACTTCATCTGCTGGGCCCAGACCCTCTCCTGTGTGCTGCACGTGGAGATTGCCACAGGGCACGTCATTGAACCTCACTAACTTTGCCGTTTTCCTGCTTATTCACTGTTTCCAGTGTTTGCGCACTGACCTGTCTCACGGACATTGCTTTGGAAAGGGGTGGCTTTACACAGCTTTGGGTGTGATTAAATGTGGTGGTATTTGAGCATGCACTCACAGGAAAAGGTGCTCAAGGATATGATATGGTGGGTTTTTTCAGCTGAGCGAGACTGTGAGCTTTGCTGTTTGAGATAATTTGCAAGTTGCAAAATATTTGTTCATCTCAAGGCAGTTCACACTCTCTGCACCCAGCAGTGCCCAGGAGAAACAGCTTATTTAAGTGTGCAAGGTTTTCCTGCTGTTAGTGCTCACACAAACTCCTTTGTTTCCCCTCTTTAATTGCACCTCCCTGGCTGGGTGTCGCTGTTTTCAGCAGTATGCTTCTCCCCAGCCGGGCTGGCTGGAGGGGGCAGAATGCAAAAAAGAGACCATCAGATTTGGGGCTGCACCTCTGGCTCAAGGCATTTTGCCTCTTACCACACGTACTGCTGCACCTGTACACCCAGCTACTCCAGTTGTGTTTTCTTTTGCATGAGCATCCCTTGTGCTGGAGGGGCCCTCGGGTCGCTCAGTGTCAGCTGGGCTCATCGTGGTGTTTGGGCAACCCCAGTCACACGAGTGTCTGTTGTAGATCGCGGCTGGGAGCTGCTCCCAGCTCATCCCCAGCAGCACGACAATAGTGTGCCATATTCATATTAGTCATGCTTGTCCCCGGTTTGTTTGCTGTGTTTCAGGGTTCACCGGGTCCCCCAGGGCCACCGGGCCCCCAAGGCGCTCCAGGTCCCAAGGTGAGCCAGACCTCTGCCATGCAGATGGTGTTTCCTAGAGAGTGACATGGTCGTTGGCAGCTCTCCATGTAGCGAGTGTCTCCCGAGCCAAAACAAGGCAGGCTATGCCGGCTGTGGGGCTTGAGGCTACATGTGGTAAAGGGAATGCTATTTAACACTTTCTCGGGCTGAAAAAGGACGTGTTCACCCAAAAGCCAAAGTTTTGTTAGCCTGTCTCTGGTCTCCAGACTCTTCCAGAGGATGCTGTCCCAGAAACAAATCCACTCCCAATCCCACACCTGATGGGTGAAAGCCTGGCCCCTTTGAGATTTCCTCATTGCATGTGGCAGGAGGCAGAAGTAAACAGGAGAAGCCGTTGTGAGGAGGGGCCAGTGGTCCCAAAGCTGTGCCGAGACGCCCTCCATCCCTTCCTCCCCATGTGCCGCTTGCTGCCCCAGCACTGTGTCCAAGCAGGACTGCTCTGTCCTCCCGCTTCACAAGCAATAGCCAGTTACCTACAGTCAGCTGTAGTTTCTGTAAGAGAAGCATTTAACCTACAAAAAAAATGTCTCAGAAGAACAGGATGGAGTGGGATTTCAGTGCTTCTCGAGGTCTCCATGCTCCCCAAATTTGGATGAGCCGGTAATGTTGGCACATGACTGAAACCTCCTTGCTGCTGCTCCTGAGCCTGGCAATGGCAAACCCCATAACCCCAACGGTTGAAACGTGAATAACTCATTTCCTTGCAAAATGCTTTCCAGAGATGATTTCCTGATTTAAGTGACCGTGGGCTCCCCTTCCTTGTGTCGTTTCAGGGAGAGCTGGGCTTGCCGGGTCCACCTGGACTGGATGGTGAGAAGGTGCGTGGGGCATGGCTGGATTGAACGAGACCTTGCAGGAGCTGAGTTAAAAAGTTTACTTGTGTGTCCGTGAGAGCTGTTGCTGTGAAAAGCAATTCTCAGCCTGCCAGGAGCAAGCTGTGCCCCGTAATTTCCAGTGGCATCTCCTTGAATTAATCACCCTTTGACTGTGGCCCCGCGCTCAGCCGGGAGCGTGCAGATGCTGCTCCTGGCCACATCTGCCGAGCTAAAGGGGCTCCTTTTACCAGTGGTTCGTCAGACACGGTCTCAGATTTTGTCATAAACCTTCCCAACCCTAAACGGCTGCAATCCGTGCTACGGCCCAGCCAAATTCTGCTGCGCCTACAAAACCAGCATATGTAAGTTTTAACGTTAAAACATGTTTCCATGACCTCGTGCTGCCCTATGGAGACAAACAGCAGAAAGGCAAAAATGGCTCTTGTGGGGGATTTTTTTTAACAGTTTTCTCCTAAGCAAGTTGTTTTCTGTAAACTTCCAGGGTCCCAAAGGAGCGAAGGGTGACCAGGGCAGTGCGGGGATCGCTGGACAGAAAGGAGAGACAGGAGAAATGGGCTTAGTGGGTCCACCGGTACGTCCCTCTTCCTGTCCCTGTACATTTACTGCTTGGTTCTTTAACGTCCTGATTTCTGCAAATGCTCGGAATATGGCCGGGTTTGCTGATCTAAGCAATGGCCTGTCCACACCGCAATATGCTGAGCTGGAGGATGCGGGAGCTTTGAATCTTCTTTGCTAATGGTGACGGTAACAGCTTATGCAGAAGGTGATCTAAGCTGGTAGCAAGGAGGAGAAAAATCTTTTCTTAAAGTCCTCTGGGGATGAATGTGAGCTTTGCTTGAGCTGAGGCTCGAATTTAGAGGAAGACACATGTGTTTCTCTCTGTTTTGCTTTCCTGGAGGATGCACCACATCAGCATTACGTTTTTATCTTTTAGGGAGCAGAAGGGCCAAAAGGAGACAAAGGAGAAAAAGGAGACACCGGGTCACCGTGTTTGCAGAATAATCACGTAAGATCCTGGCACCATGCAGCCTCTTCCGTGACACGGGGTCAGGCGAAGTCGGGGGGTGCAGGCTTGAGGCACCGGTCCTGCATCCATCCGTGTAGCAAGGGGGAGCAAAACCCAACTGTTTTCTACAAGGACTTTCAAATGCATCTAAACGGGGTTTATTCGTTAGGGGAGGACTCTCTGGACACTTGGCACCGCTAAGTTACTTTAGATTTTGCATCGATGGTTGAGATACTGGATGCTGCTGTTATGTTTTGTTTTGAAAACATAATTTGGCTCCTTGCAGTTTTATAGGATTTCTGCGTCCTTTTTTCCTTATTCATGCCTTTTGCTTAAAAAAAAAAAAAAAATAATGAAGTGGTGGGTTTTGAGAGGTTTTTTTATTAATGACGTGAGAGCTTTAATTTTGGGGGGGGTTTGGGGTTTTTTTCTTTGGTGTTTTTTTTTAATCAAAAAGGCTGGTTTCCTCTGGTCTGTGCAGAAAATTGCATCATTTTCCATTACATCCATTTTGTGACCAGCAAATACACTGAGCAGCGTGGGTCACGCTTCTCATTTCAGACCCTAACTTGATCCACGTGCTTATTAAGATTAATTTATCTATAAATACTACAAGCAACTCTTTTATTAGCAGATATTTTGATTAAAGCCATTAAACGAGAGGTCATTAAATCATGATTTTGGGCCGTGTGACATTTCCATTCCCAACTTCTGTCTTCTCTCTGTGCCCAGCCGCATTAATGTGCCGTTTAATCCCCTTCCGCAGATCATACCTGAGCCCGGACCCCCCGGATTACCCGGCCCTATGGTAGGACTCTAGAAAGCAGCTCATGCAATTGAGTGTTGCTGCAGATTTGTTATCGCGTGCGAATAGTTACAGACGAGGGTGGTTTGCTCTGTTTAATTGTTGTGGGCTCCTGTGAATCTGGGAAAAAAAAAAAAACAGGGAAGAGCTGCAGCGTTGGGTGCCGTCTTTGGAGAGATGGAAGCACCTGATCTAGGAGAGTACCTCAGCGTTTGTGGCACCCTTTGCAAATAAGCAAGTTGTTCCTCGGGATGGGGAAAAGGTAAAACCCTGTGGGATGGGGAAACCTGTTCCCCACCACGAC